GTGTTGACTCGAATATTTTTATTTTCGTGAGTCTAGACGGCAACTTTGAAACTTTTAGTTTTTGTATAAAGCCAATAAAATGTTGGTTCGTTTCAACTGGCAGGTACATTGAAACATTCCGCAGTACAGACAGACTCCAGAACTATAAATTACATACGTTTGCGTACACAGACGGACAGACGTTTGGTATTCCGCCAAGGTGACGGGCGCCACTATCTCTTACATCACTTGTGACTACGCTACGTGAAATTACTCGACGAATCAAATTACACCTTGACACTTTGCGTTAAAATTGTAATTACCGTGTCTTGCCATTATGGGTTGCTGACACGGAACTCCAAATTGTCTAAATAAAAATTTATAGTAGGTTGATTGTTTGCGTGTTCCTTAATTAATACAAGTATACTTAAAAGAGGCTTGATGCTCTTCAAACTCCTGAATTCCGATCTTAGGTACCTATTTTTAAAGTTCATAATCATATTGCATTATCGACTAAGATCTTACTCCTACTACCACTTCAGGGAAACAAGCGTATTCTTTAATATTAATAATGTGATCGGAGTTTCCAGTATTTACATGTGTTGCTAGTTCAAAGCACGTGATGATGAATAAAGATGCTAATTATGCATACAATTGTGAACCTTATTGATGACCATATTTACTAGAAAACGACGTAATCGTTCCATGCTAAATGTTCCGTAAATTCAAGTTAAAACCTTCTTTTACATGGACCTAGGTCATTCACAAATAACGTACCTAATTAACGCTTAAGTTCGTGATAAATATGTCTATCAAAGCGAGTAGTAGGTATATACGTAAGTTGCCAACATAATCACACAATAAATACTTATTCATCTCGGGTTTTTTATCAGCAAATGTACCCAGGCATTAGAATAGTTATAATCAGTATTTATATTTCCATGTAAAAAATATTAATGACGGCATTTAAATGGTATTCGGGGGCAATAGACTACCTAATGATACTACAGTTTCTAAGTAACATTAACTATTGAAGATTATATTATCAAAGGCATTTATTTTTTGTATCTTTCTCCGATAGGGAATACAATTCACAAAGTCAGGAATTAGCTCAAACATAGAACGCCATCGAGCTACCGTCATAATAAATTCAATTTTATTACACAATAATAAGATTGAAAATCGAATAAACTAACTAATGTTCTGTACCAAAACCAAAAAGCAAGTCTCCTGAGATTTTAACTTTAATTGGATCGTCTAGCTAGCCTAGTTCCAGTCACTGCAAATAGCGGTCGTAATGCCAACTGACGTCACTGTCTGGGTATAGGGAATTTCTGACATATCTGAATGCTTTATTTAACCGCCATAGAACAGTATGTTGGAATACAAGAAAGATTTCCTCAAAGGGTACTTGAACCTGGCTAGATCACTAACATGATACCCACAGCGTGAAAAATACTAACACAAAATGAAGAAAATAAAGTACTAAACAACTTTAATAAGAAGGACAAACGTTCACAATTGAATGTCGATTCTCACGACGGCTTTGGAGAACCGTACAATTCCTAATGACTTATAATTTCACGAGTGACAATGAACAATGGAATTGGATGTTCCCGGATTGCTAGGCTGTCATTTGTTTTGAATACCTACTTCTATAAGAAATGTTCAACAGAATGTCTATATCTTGAATCTTACATATTATTAAGCATCTTTGCTATTTGCAGATGTTTTATTCACAGCATCTATTGCTCTGATGGCCGTATCTACTATGACAATACGGGTTTATTGTAATGCGATAATAAAACCTTGACCTAAAGTGTTTGATGTGCAATATTACATCGTCAGAATGATATTTTATCTACTTCAAAATTTTGTTAGTACTTGTTACCTAAGTAATGTTTCTGTTTTTATTCATAAATGCAAATTGATGAACTGTTTCTTCGTATTTTCCTTATGTTAAAGCAATAAAACTCGTACATCATGGCTCACAGGCCAGCCATAACATTATACGGAACGGCCATGCTCGAATCACGAACAACAAATACAAAACTAATCTTTTATTTACTCTCATAAAACAATAGATTTCTGTGTATACTGTCACCTACGAATATACACTGACTTACACAATTTCCATTTATAGCCATTACATATATTTTCGGTTTACTACCTAATTCAAATCACAAATCTTAAATACAGCGGTAAAACATTCAAAGTAGGGTAGTAATTTTGAATGACATGACTAACATGATGTTGTCTGTTGATAATTATCTAAATACATATGGATTAGTCAAATTCGATGAAATAATAAATATAACGTAGTTTCCAATGGCAAAATAAAGCAAAAGAAAAAACCCCAGACACGAATGAGTAATTTATACTAGTAAATGCAAAAGTAACTCTGTCTGTCTGTCTTTTCTTCAGGCCTAAACTACTCAACCGATTTCTGTGAAATTTGGTACCGACATAGTTTGGAACTCAAGAAAAGACATAGGATAGTTTTTATACCAAAAATCTGCAGGAAGTCACTTTTCCACGAGAACGGTGTCGCGGGCTAAAGCTAGTATTTACTATATACGAATATGATTCCAACGATAAGTCTGTCCCTACATTTCTGAGATTCGTTTAATTTGGCGTAGATGAAGCTTTTGAAGCGGAAACTAAAATGAACTTAAATAAAAAAACACATTGATCCTAATTTTGAATCAAATTAATTTATCCAAAAATTAAATATGTAATGCCAAAGAATGATTTGCTCAAAGCTACCGTCACGCTTTATCAGATGATGTATTGTTTGAAGATACGATACCCATTATGATTGTTCTATCATCGTATATATTCGCAATGGAAAAATGATGACATATATGAGATTTGTATCTTATCTTCGAAATGAGTGTAATAGCACAACAGTACTGCATGATACGTCATGTGTTCTCAGTTCTCACCAAGAGAATTCAGTATTGATTTCATTTGAAGTAGTTCCTTGAAATTAGTTATTCTGAATTCTGATATCATGTATAGCATATCAGTCTTTTTAATCGTTCACAAAATTTTGAGTAACGTTTGCGTTAAAATTCTCAAACTTTCTCAGTCAACTTATTATTGATTTCTGCTCTTAAATGTCCTGGTTCTACTTCACCGTCATTATTATGTTAAACATTGATATCATTAACTATGTTCTCTCTATCAGCTTGTTGTATCTTGGAAACGTCGTCTTTACCCTTTATTTAGTCCATAAACAAATGCAGAAGCAAGTTAACATTGTCTCTTAATGACACACACTGATATAGTTTAATTATATCACAGTTGTGAGGGCTATAGAAGTAGAGCAAAAACTTCGACAGCAATATAGGATGTTTAGTTGTATATCGAATTATGAGTTCTTTGTACGGGCTATATTTAAAATGGTCATCTACGCGTAGACACTGCTAAGCGTCTGAGATAAAAATAGTCTTGAAGGCAGACTATGGACGTAGTACTGGTAATATACCTAAATATACATGATTATGTAAGGTCTTATTGTTTGTATACCTTTGGGAAACCCCCATAAACAATAAACAGACATTATAATGAGCTATCAAGGAAGTACAAGTATAGATTCTTTATATAGTGCAGTCTATTTTGGACCGTTCTCTACCGCTTTCGTAACGCATCAAAACTGGTGACGCCACTGGACAAAGTTCGATTTGAATTCCATATTTTTGAAATCTATTTTAGATTTAAAATCTGTGCCCAAGTCTCAAAAGGCACTAGACATTAATTTATATAAAAACTTAACTTAATATTCTAACATATCCAAATGTTGAGCGTTTGACCATTTCATTTTAGACTATGTAGGTATTTATAACTTAAATTGAACCACATAAAATTTATTTCGTTTCGGTTTTCCACTACAAACAAGAGACACGTGTGACCAATTTCAACTTGCATCTCGTGATTTGTTTTACTTACACTGTATTATTTTTGAACATTTGTTCTTAATTGTTACATCAACGTCTCCTGCTCGTGCAGTTTGTAAATAAACATAAATGTTACGTGAAAAGAATGTTTCACGTTGTTCAAAGTCGTACAAGGCGAAGTCCGAGGCAATGCAGATACAGCAAATTAAAGTACTCTCATTTTCTCAAATAGATTTTTAACTGTATTCCCAAGCATTATAGTTTAAAAATCTATTTAACAATTGAGTGTATTTCCATCTGCTAGCGTTTGTACTTATTACTTATTAATTTATAATATATGATTTACTTCCTCATCACTACATTTGGCTAGCCGGACGTCGCTTTCGCGACGAGACTTTATTTTTGTACGTTTTCTGTTCCAATATTATCACTAATCCAACCAATGTTATTTACAGACTGCGTTTGTTAAATGTCTACCTATATTTGTAGAATAGTGCGGCCCTTCAAAATTCATCAAAATTTCACCACTCTGTGGTCTATTGTATATTTTGGCGTAATTTTCCTTAGATCATTACCATTGTATTCAAGATCTGATGGCGAGAGAATTTCCATGAAATTGGGAAGTTTCAAATTTTCTTTCATTCCTTAAATTTTAAAAAGTATTTATAGTGATTGCTTCCAGCTGTTTTGTTTTATTTACCTTAGCTTTATTATTTGTTTACTTTCCAGCGAACTCTGACGGGTTTCGTAGTAAATAAGTAACACTGTGATTAATTTCTTGGAAAATCTTTCACACAAATTGCGTCACTTTGTAGATTTGATAAAAATATTGTGAGCTATTGGAAGTTTCTCTGTCGTATGTTGACATTATCTCCATACATTCATTTGTCTTCTGCGAAATTCTCTAGTCACAGATCTGAGATATCCTATACTTAATCTGAGAACTATAGTTGCTTGTGAAATATGGACCTAAGATCTTAGACTGATGGTTCAGTATTTCATATCCGCATCAGTAGTGGCCCCGCAGCAGAATTAGTGCTTTGGGTGTTTGCGAAGTAACGTGTAAAGCGCTTTAGCTGCTGCGTCATTATTGGACTATTGCTAATTCTGATTTTTGTATAGTTTCGTGGCTGGAGTTATCCTTCGTGAGCGCATACCTGCTTTTGAGCGCATGTTATGGCGCGCCTGCAGAGGCAATGTGTTCCTCCGACAGGCCGAAATCGACACACCCTTGGAAGATCCCTCTTCTGTAAGTATAAATTCTTGTGTAATGTTTGTAACCAGTTTTGACCGGTATTTATAGAATTTTATGATATTTCCTTGCACTAATGTTTATAGTTTTCCTTATCTGTGATAGGTTCAGACTTTCCTGTTATCTGTGAATGTGACAAGTTATAACATTTTGACAGTTTGAAGATAATTTGTATTTAAACAGAGTGCTTCCTAGTTGAGCTCTGTCCTCGAACTCATCTAGAAATTGATTTACAATGGAACGGCGGCGTTTATCGATTGTAATAAGTATGTTTCCGCAATTGGAGAGGCGTTTAAGCAATTTATTTGATACGGCTACTGTGGTTTTAATGAAAAACATAATACGTGATTGTTTGATGTACAACTATACTCGGACTTTTAATTCCATTCCAGATTTGACAATTTCCGTGTTGCAACGTTATGACACGTATTAAATAGTGACGTTGCGAAATTATTCGATGTGGAAATCGAATATTTCTGAATCGATTCCTCTCGTTTATAAATTTAATCTCGTAAACTAAGTTTATCAGGAAATAAAATATTTCTGATCCGATAATTTAGTTTTGACAATTAACGATCTGAGACTTTTCTTTTGTAATTGTGTGTGAAATAAATAAAAAATGTGATCATGAAGGAACATGACAAATAAAACAGAAATTTTATAAATTGTCGCCGTCATCGCTATCGCTATCGCTGTTACTTTCTGTAACATTTATTATAAATTGTGTCTGTGATTTTTATTGTTCTTACTAATTTTTCCCCTATTTTGACAACATGAGATACGCATTTAGACCATTCGGTAGCCGTAATTTTTTGTGTGCCTTCCTGAAACTGATTCACTGATTGTTTATCGATTTTTGTGTTCATCACTACACTGTTATATGTGGTATCATTATTTCACAAAATGACAATAGGTCATGTCAAATCAGGAATCGAATTAAAATTCTGACTATAGTCTTTATTCTGTAATCAACTACACTTAAACAAAATTGTTTCTCAAACTTTATCTTGGACTTTTGTTGGAAACCAAAAAAAGCTCAATATCTATCAAGATAAACTATGCACAAAAGTTTAAATATCATCAGCGGGAAGACATCCATTGCTGTTCAAAAGTATCCCTCTTAATCCTCCACGTCGAACGACAACTAACTGGCCACTTGTATTAGGTATAAGAGAAGAGCCTCCTCCTCCTTAAGAGCATGTTCATAATGATTCCTTCGTCTTTCAGTCGGACCAGGTGTACAAGTCTGTGTTCATCATCTTCTTCCAAGGAGACCAGCTGAAGACCCGTGTAAAGAAGATCTGCGAAGGTTTCCGTGCGACCCTGTACCCTTGCCCCGAGGCACCCGCTGACAGAAGGGAGATGGCCATGGGAGTCATGACCAGGATCGAGGATTTGAACACGGTAAGAACTTATGAACAACTTACAATCTTTATAACAGCTTCAAATCCCCTTATTTGTTGGGGATAAATGTTCAAAAAGCTTCAATAATGTTTGGTGCAGTTCAGATTGAATGAATACTTAGCGTCCTCTGAACAGAACAAGGCTACTTGTGATATCTAACGACAATTTTTTGTTGTAATGTTACCTACATGTACGCACGTAATTGATACGTGGGTTTGAAGGAATATATTCCAAGATTGCACTATAATTGCAGTCAAGATGAGGTAACTGAGAAATGACACAAGCTCCTAGTATAAGATAAATCCAGTAATACCACATACAATATAACACGTAAAATATGTCAAGAGTCAGATGGATAGGGCGCGAGCCTGTTGTCCCAAAAGCCTCGACACTACCGGCGTTATTACAAAACAAGGTTTTTTTTAGTCTAGGTCTAAACCATTGAGCCAAATTTTGTATTTTAAATTGAAGGCAGGTGAGATTATGATTCAAAATATAAAACCTATACTGGAGATAAAACTTGTTTTGTTAGAAGGGGGTAAAGAATCGTAGTACATAAATGTGAATATTATTTGTATGTATAGTGCAGATAAAAGCTACAATGACTTAATATTTAATCATTCGTTTTACTCTTGATAATCAGTGACCATAAAAAGCCATGAGTATAAATGTGGATGGATGGAGAGGGAGAGGGAGACCAAAGAAAATATGGATGGATTGTGTGACGAGCGACAGGACAGAATGGAAGAAATATAGTCGGCTATAACATGGGGTCCGGAATTGTTGAAGTAAAAAATTACATGGGGCTTTAATTGGTGAGAAGTAGGTACTTTATATTTTGTATGTATGATGGCATATGTGCATGAAAAATATACCAATACCACCTCGGCCTCGGCTTAGAAGAACAGGAGAAAGGACGGGGAGTTTTAAGTCAATAAGAGTCCGACCCTTCCTCTAGCCTCACCCTGGGTTGGCTGAAGTCATTTGATGATTTTACCCTGACTAAAAAAATACCTCAACCTTTCTTTTCCATTATTAGAAAGCTTGATATAGTATGAAAAGTTTATAAAATCAGGCGTTACTTTGCGGAAATCCATGACATTAAATGTTAGGGAAAATATTTCGTTTTAATTCCGGGACAAAATAAATAAAAATAAAATTTGTCGCGGAATTAAAACTAAATATTTTCCCTAACATTTAGTATAAAAAGTTATCACATCTACCAAATTGTACTGCCATAACAAAAATAATAACTTCAAAATCATTTTATATACATACCTTCTGTATAAGTAGGTATAGTTAGCAGTTTACGTATACTACGTAGTGACGTCCATTTTTGGTATCGTAGGTACTAAAATATAATATGTCGATGTCCGCTATCATATCATGGAATGTTTGGAGGTCACGCCAAACCGGTGCCTCTTGTGATTACGTGTTTTTTGTTACACTTTGTAAAATTAATTATATTTGAAATTACTATTGAGTTTGAATACGGATTTCAATGCAGATGTGTTTATATTAATAACGTCTTTATGTGCTATAGAGTTGAGATTTGATGCCTATGCCTATATTTATAATTAAAGAATGATTTATCATGGATGAAGTCATACACAACATTACTTATTGGCAGAACAAGTTTACTACAAAAGCATAATTAGTGCAAGACATAATATAATAAGTATACGCATCTGGAATTATTTCTAGTTAAAAATAAAAATCCTAAAATAAAAAATAAATCGCCGTTAATTACATTGCATTTATTGAAAATAACTATTTACTCACGTAAATTAACTGACTTGGATAAAGATTTCTGTTGTGACGCAAAAATAATAGAGATTTTTTTAGTTAATTCGCGTGGGTAAGTATTTTCAGTAATTTAAGTTGTCTCGCGATAGTAACTATTCAAAAATAGCCATCCTAACTTCACCTGGGCACACAACAACTAATTTCCTTTCCTCCATCATCAGGTTTTAGGTCAGACACAAGACCACCGTCACCGCGTACTGGTGGCTGCTGCCAAGAACATAAAGAACTGGTTCGTGAAGGTGCGCAAGATCAAGGCCATCTACCATACCCTGAACTTGTTCAATTTGGACGTCACGCAGAAATGCCTCATCGCTGAATGCTGGGTGCCAGCTCTCGACCTCGAAACTATTCAACTGGCTCTCAGGAGAGGAACGGTGAGTTTATCTGAAAGACTAGACTTGTTCTGATGTAGGCACTTTTTTACCAAAATTCTATGCTATTTAAAAGGACTATGTTCGACTGGTTTAAACATCGTCTGCGCGACTGTTGTCATGTCACCTGTCGTGCGTGAACTTAACAGTCGTGAGACCCGGTCGTGTCTAAATCGATCAAGTTCCTTATAAGTAAATCGTAATTCCATTCAACTAGTAACTTCCACTGCGATAAGGTCTGTTCTCTCTCGGAGAAGGATTCAGCATTAATGATGAGTCTTCCACAAGTCAATCATAAGTCTTCCACACGAGGTTAACTTCTAATTAATAAGTAGGAACTTTGTAATTATACTTACTAACTTATGTCATTGTTTTGGGTACAGGAGCGCAGTGGCAGTTCTGTGCCTCCGATCCTGAACCGCATGGAGACGCTGGAGGACCCGCCCACCTACAACCGCACCAACAAGTTCACCTCGGCCTTCCAAAACCTCATCTACGCGTACGGTGTCGCCACCTATCGGGAGGTCAACCCTGGTACGTAGCTATACAATACTAACGTTCACAAGTCAACACATTTATTTTTATTAATTTTATAACTTAAATATAGACTTGGCCGTCAGTGAAGCTAGGAACATCAACCTAAATGTAGATTCACATGGAGAAAAACAAACAATGAAATCCCATTGGGGAATGCTTGAAAATGTGTTTAGTAGTTTTCACAGACACAAAAAATATGATTGCACGGTTCGCTCGGAGACTGGGCTACTAGCTGCCGCGCATCGTGCCTTGGGATCGATTCCCGCACGGAACAACTGTTTATGTGATCAACCATTAGTTTTTCCGAGTCGGGGTGTGATGTGTATCTATGTAAACACACGGGGGCAATATCAACATACAGATTTTTCTATGTTTCTCACATAATTGTTAATTGTTAAAGTTGTTCAACGAAATGTAGCTTTAAAGAGATGGTTCCGTAAAGGACCTTACAATATACTTTCCGTCTTAACAACAGCTCCGTACACAATCATCACCTTCCCGTTCCTGTTCGCCGTGATGTTCGGAGACCTCGGTCACGGCGCGTTGATGGCCATCTTCGGATTCTGGATGTGCTACAAGGAGAAACCACTGCAGGCCAAGAAAATTGACAGCGAGGTAATTTTCAATGTTCATTCTTACTGAACATATAAATAAAGAAGCAGTTTCAGATGTCGTAGTATATATTTATAATAATGAAACATCGAATGTTATAAATATCATTTCAAATTTGGCTAATGCTTGCCAGTTTTTTTTTCCTAAGATGTGTACAATTTATTTTGTTATCAAATTCAATACATATTTACTTTTAATGTTAATTATTTATTTACTTAATTAGCAATGAAAATTTGTTGAAAATAACTATTAACTCTCGTGAATTAACGGAGAAAAACTCTACTAGTTTCAACTCTTATTTAGATTCAAATCTGTTATTATAATATTGTATCAATTTGCAGATCTGGAACATATTCTTCGGCGGTCGCTACATCATATTACTCATGGGTCTGTTCTCGATGTACACTGGCTTAATCTACAACGACATCTTCTCTAAAAGTCTGAATATCTTCGGCTCGTCGTGGAGGAACAATTACAACGAGTCCACGCTCGCCAGCAACAAACTGCTGCAGCTGAACCCTGACTCAGAAGATTATATTCAAACTCCTTATCCGTTTGGTATCGATCCTGTTTGGCAGGTCAGTTCTTTGAAGTGTTTTATTTATTTACATTTCAAAGTCAAATTCAAAATCATTTATTTCAATTAGACCCATACAGGCACTTTTGAACGTCAAACAAAAATTATTTTCATATAACATTTTGAACTTAGACCTTAAGACATACTCAATTTTATCTTTCTTAATTTACAATAATAGTCGATAAACTTTATTAACGCATTCATTGCACGACTCTCTTATTTAAAGTAACATACTCAGGATTTTGTAGTTCTCGGTCACTTTTGTGGGCTTTGATTTGGGCGAAACAAAATTGTTAATTTCAAAGAATTTTGTAAACTACCTTCCGCCCGTGGCTTCGCCTGTATGATATGTTGATAAAAAGCAACCTATGCGCTAATAAAGGGATCGCATATCCACATACCAAATTCAAAATTCAAATGGGTCCAACCATTTTCGAGTGAAAACATAACAAACAAACATGCATACGTTCTCACAAACTTTCACACTTATAATATTAGTACGCAAATGCTAAATAGAAAACTCCTCCAATAGCTTTTAAATCAACCATAGTTTTTGGTAAAACATACCTTAACGTGATATTAATTAGAATTTATTATCGTGTAACAGCTGGCTGAGGCAAACAAGATTATCTTCATGAACGCATACAAGATGAAGATCTCGATCATCATTGGAGTGTTCCACATGTTGTTTGGTGTTTGCATGTCGCTGTGGAATCATCTGTAAGTATCTCCTGTTTATTATTTAAAGAATTTGAAGAAATATATTTTGTGTAATGAAATTTTTTATTACTTCGTATTAGGTACTTTTGCGCGGTTTCACCCAGCTCCTACAGATTGTAGCGTAACGTTTCATAGCCTATAGTCTTTCCCGATAAATGTACTAACAAACACAAAAACAATCGTTCAATGCGAACCAGTAGTTCCTGAGAATAGCGCGTTCAAACAAACTCTACAGCTTCATTATATTATTGTGTCATATTTAGTGTAGCGAAAATAGTGCTTCATAATTTATTATTTTGATGCGGCAATGACTCTGCAATAAATAGAATTTTGTATTACCACAAGTCTACAAACCTAAATAAAATGCAGTGGACAGTGCACCTTAACAACCATTATATTCGTCATAAATTACATTGTCGTCAATTGTAAGATGTTTGTGTTCGCAGGTACTTCAAGCGTCGTATCAGCGTGTACGTGGAGTTCATCCCTCAGATCCTGTTCCTCACGCTACTCTTCTTCTACATGGTGCTGCTCATGTTCATCAAGTGGACCACGTACGGATCCACGCCTCCATTCTACGGCAGTGACGACCCTGGTACGTATATTATATGGATATATATCCACTCTATCTCCCATCTCTCATACCCCATCCCCCATATCTCATCACATCTCCCAATCCCCAAACCCCAATCCGGGCAGCGCAGTTGATAACTGGTAGTTTGGATTTCCCTGAGACATTAATGGCGCCGATTGTATATCATCAGACGGTCTATCTGCTCGTTCGTCACCAGATGCCATAAAAGCCGCAGGACTTGTGGATATACAGAAATAATGTCATAGTTATCCTTTTTATGGCTTCTGACCTTAAACCAGAACAGACATAAAACAAACAGTATTTTCAAGTGAACCAAAAAACCGTCTCGTACCGTTTTATTTAGCTTTGCTAATATAATTTAGATATTTAATGAAAAAGCCAGTCTTGTAACATACGTACGTCTATTACAGAGATCGTGAAGACCAGTGCGTACTGCGCGCCGTCTATCCTGATTACGTTCATCAACATGATGTTGTTCAAGCACGACGCCAACACTCGCCCAGTATGCGACGACACCATGTACGCTGGACAAATGGGCATACAGAAGGTACCAAAACCAATTCTATATTATATTCCTTATAAAAAAAAATACAAGTTGTTAGTTCATTGTTAATGATTACTAGTATTTTAGAAGTCATATTTTACAATTACAAAATATGTATTAAAATTGAGGCAACTTGGGTGCTCTTCAATAGAAGGCTGAATATACAATGTTATTCAATTAACATAGTGCACATGTGTTTAGTTAAAAGATTACAGATCGACTGGATTTTCTAGATTCATATAAATAACCTAATACGACAATCGTTACCAAAATAGGAGATATCGAGCGAATCGCTATTTCACTAAATGTATTAGGCGCAAATGGCGCAAACCTCTAATAAATACATTTTTTGTTTGTATTTGTTATAAGTCAGCAGGTTCTGTGATCCACTAATATAAATAAAAAAAGAAATATAATAATAATTAAGAATATAAGTAATACTATGTTCCGAGGCGAAAGCAATTTCATCGATTATAATACTTGCAACTTTGTACAAATGTACAAGTTAATATGGTTTTGTTCCGAGTTTTTAGCTAACCAATACATGAATGTTGCAGTTCTTCGTGATCATGGCTCTGCTGTGTGTACCCGTCATGTTGTTCGGCAAGCCTTACTTCATCATGAAGGAACAGAAGCAGAGGGCTGTGAGTATACCACTACTATTGTACAATATGACAAAACTACTAGTTGTTTTAAAGTTAATCAGTTTTCTCTATGAGAAATTCTATGATATGCTTATAATTAAAATTGTGATTATTTCTAATGCTGCTGTATTGGATAGCTGGGGGTAAGCATTAGTATTACAAAATTAAAATAAAATTAGATAACATTTCGTAAATTTCAAAATAATAAAATAACAATAAGTTTTGGTAACTAGGTCATGATCAAACACCCTTGCTACCTCTTTCCCAATCTACTTGGGATCAGAACAATATGTTTTCCACCTCTATTCTCCTTAACTGATTCAACCAAAATTAAGTTTAAATTATTTAACTTCGAGTATTTAGCATACGTAAAAAATTAACGTAAACGTTCGTACGTTTTTTAGTACATATCACATGTAGATAGATAAAAGCTATTAATATTGTATTTCTATTTGTTTTTGGGTCTCATATAAGGGAGACGAGACGTTTAAATGGGAAAATGGTAATGTTTCTAGTCAATAAGAAGACATTTATATTTTTTGTTCAGCGCCAAGGTCACCAGCCGGTAGAGGGCGCCGCCGAGAACGGTAACGCAGGCGGGGCCGCCGCGCCCGCCGCCCACCATCACGACGAGGATATCACTGAGGTCTTCATTCACCAGGTACGTGGACATTTTAATATTCCACTGTCAAAGAAAGATTTTGTAGTCTTTTTTCACTAAATTGATCTTCATCTAAATCTATCGATTGATATCATTGACATACTCTTTATAACAGATTTTTTGTTAAATATTTCAATCGATCCAGACATTTTGGATGTTAATTTTAGCTGTATATACTTACTACTGAAGTAGCCGAAGAAACGTCTTATAAATTGTGACCTGTTTCTTTACAACGTAAATAGATACTCATTTTGTATGAAATTAAAAAGCAGGTTTTGTGCAAATGCAAACTTCTATTAACCTGGTTAATTTTAACAGTCCTTTTAATTAGTTAAGTCATACGTAAAATGTGAAGAGTATGGTAAATAGAATGTTGTATCCGGCAGGGTATCCACACGATCGAGTACGTGTTGGGCAGCGTGTCCCACACGGCGTCGTACCTCCGGCTGTGGGCGCTCTCCCTCGCACACGCGCAGCTCGCTGAGGTCGCATGGAACATGCTGCTACGGAAAGGTACGCCAGTATAAACGTTGCATGTCTTATTCCATATGTCTGTGCCAAATTTCATCAAAATCTATTTCAGTAGTTTTGTGTAGAGGAACAATACAGATTTATTTATGAATTTGAAATAAATGGTAGTCGTTACACTGACGTGGAAATTCGTTCACCTTATTCAACTTAATCTCAGCATTACAACATTTTTGCACAGACTACGGAAAACCCAGTGGCATGGGCACACAACTTTGATTGGAGCTCAAAGAAAGAAATGTTCATCGCAAATATTTTTATTTTTAAGGTGGCTTCTTTGTTAGTTGTTCCATCACGTCTAAAACCCAGAATATGACAACAGCTGAAAAGCTGAACATACGGATAACAATATTAAAATCACTGGTTAGGCAGAAAACTCACTAGGCGCTGAAGGCGGCCTTTTCAACACTATATATTTTTTTAGTTTCTGATGTCATTGGTAGCATGAACATAATATAATGAGCGTGTGTCTATGTCCAGGTCTGATGTCGACGGACTACCAGGGCGGCATCTTCCTGTACATCGTGTTCGCGGGCTGGGCCGCCATCTCCGTCTCCATCCTCGTACTCATGGAGGGACTCTCCGCCTTCCTGCATACTCTGCGTCTGCACTGGTCAGTACACACTCCTTCTTTTCTTTTTAAAAAAAGAAACGTTGGCCCGCTCTAATGTGAGAGAGCCATGCTTCGGCACGAATGGGTCGGCTCGTCCTGGTCGAGTTGTTTCGCAACGTGAGTGAGGTTACCGGAGGCTCAAGCCTTCCCCTTCCCCAATCCCCAAACGGTCGGCAATGCACTCGTAACTCCTCTGTTGTTCCGGGTGTCCATGTCCAGGAACTTGTTCACCTTTATATATTACCTCCTTTGTTAATAAAATTAACCTGTTTCATCCTACAGGGTGGAGTTCCAAAGTAAATTCTACCAGGGCGAGGGCTACCTCTTCCAGCCGTTCTCCTTCGAGGTGATCCTCGACTCGGCGGGACAGACTGAAGAGTAAACACGACACATTTCCAACATATACATACATTACAATATACTAATTCATCAGAACCATTGCAAAAGGCAAAAAAATAAAAAATAAATACAATATAAAAGACAGATTAATGAGAATATTAAATAAATTATTCAAGGAGACTTTACGTAAATGGTGAAAGAGTATATTTTAATAGTTGTGTAAAGTAATTATGTACCCGGTGTACTGTTTGTAGTAGATGGCATTGTCACAGTATGTGCTGTGACTAGGCAGCTTATGTCCTCTAATGTTATCCAGTTCAATGTTTCGAGTTCAGTTTAATATATGTAAGTGTCTATGCTGATATATTATATCCTACGCTTCTCTCGTGTTATGGAAATGACGTAATCAAACAAATAAGGTAACACATTATAAGGTTCTCCAAAAACTTTATTTACTACAACATCAAGGGTACAGATTACAAATAAAATCATTTTCTTTTGTATTTTCCTAATTAATAAATATTTTTTTATTTAATCCAATTTTTTGTAAGTAATAAAGTGTGAACGGCCACTCTGTGTAACCCAGTATAGATTCAATTGTTGTACTTAAATATGTTCGTAGAATCCGTATTCCGTGTAATTTGATATCTGCAGTGTTGATAGATTGCAATTTTAATTTAATAATTTTTAAATAAATTACTTATGATAAAGAGTTTTTTTATTCAAAATGTAAGTATAATTATTTATTTATTATGAATTTGTCTACTAAGGATATCGTTGCAGTATTCCAACCTCCATATGTACTTGTAGTTGAAACTGTATAATTGTATAATGATATTGTGTCAGACGCTCTCTGTATTGTAGCTGATTGTCATTCCAATCTATCGATGTTATCAACTTAGTGCGCTGAGTGTCGCGTAGCATAGTTTTATGGTGATGATTAAAGGTTTTAGTAGCATTATGTGATTTGTTTCAATTTATATCCGTGTTACATATCGCTGTTAACACACAGCGCAATACTTGTAGTAATATCCAGGGCCTTGTACCGAAGCTAGTCGTATTCGGCTCCGATAGTAATGCTGATATCCCCAGGCAGTACGTTCGTTTTGTGATACCATCGATTTGTGTCCACCACCACTGTAACAAGAAGAGATAATCAAAAACAATTATCATCAAAATGCCGCCAGTCAAAGTATGACCATTTGTAAGATAATATCGTAACAAGCACTACAAATTCTTTCCGATCAAAAAGATTGTGAATATTAAACACTTCGCTTGATCATGTTCAAAAATCCAAATATGGTTAGAAATGAGGGCCTTTTTTCGTGCTAGCTTTTAAAAATACATGAACTGCAATAAGTGAATCTATAAAAAGCTGCCTTGAAAATTGAGGCAAGTTACTAACGTATCTCCCCCGGGGCTACGGTGAAGGTGAGCCAGCGACAGCGGTAGAGACACTCGGGCGGCGGCGCCAGCTGCCACTGCTTGCGGCCGCGGACCTGCGCCTGCCACGACATGTGCTTCACCGAGTCCACCTGTGTGCATTACAAAATATATTCAAATTTATCGAAAGAAGTGGAAACTATAAAGTTTTTCTTCTCAAATAATTTCTGTCATTCAGTCATTCATGTGCCTGGGACTTCAGTGTTCCGGTGTTTTCATGTGTATATCTACTGTAGATCCTGGCTTACAGCGCAGCGGTTTTGGGAGCGTGGCGAGAATGTTCCAAAAAATTCACATATTGAAAGACAATGCAACAAATGTTTGTTGACAATGGAAGAAGTTCAGGAAAAGCTTTCTTCTTTTTTAGCGTTGCCCCACTCTAGGATCATCTCTGGGACCAGGAGAAGGAACGGCGTTGGTTTTTAGTAAGAAAGAATATGACACTTCCTCTTTCACACAAGTCGAGAGAAGTAATTGATTAGAATCAAATCGATTACGAAATCGCGAGAGTACGATGAAACGCTGTATCGGCCAAAAGTCACGAGATTTACGCTATTCTTTAACTAGAAAGTTTTGCAAGATTTTGCTATAGGTAAGTAATTATTTGCATGTTCAATGTTTTTTTTTTGATAACGTTATGTGGGGCCACTTTAGGATTTTCTTCTCTTTTATGGATGCTTGCTTTTTTGCTACACACATCAATTTATGGATAATTGAAAGAGTTATTCCGTACTGGAATTAAACCTGTGACACGTTGCGCGGCAGCCGGTTTCTCAGCAACCGCGACACCGATAGCGCAAACTGTGTAGTCTCAGTGCCATTTGTACATATATGGCACTGAGACAGTATAAAACTATGCTGTTCTGTTATCAGTATAATTCTAGAAATATAAGATGCATTGCTGACACTTACATGCATATGCGCGCCTTGACCTGGTCCTCCCATAAAGATCCAGTCCACCATATCACTCTCAGCAGTTTTAGGCAGAAAGTAAGGCCTATTGTAATAAGACCTGAGCTTCCTTGTTTCGTCATCATAGCAGGTGCTCCATCCAACGTACCAGGGTTGACCTGAGAGGTTTGCTCTCGCCTCGTCCATACTGAATACTTCTTGTAACGACTTCAGACCTGACTTGTACGCGAAGTAAAAGCAATCGTTGATTTGTTTGCCCATTTTTCCCTCGCTGTAGAATTTTGCGAAAAAATTGAAGTCGAATTCCTGTGAATTTGTTAATTATCTACCATTAGTTTTAGGTACCTAGGTAAAGAGGGTGAGGGTATAGAGGTATCTACCTAGAAGTTATAGGTACTTCCTACTGCAAGCGTCCTGTTTCTTAGAGATCACGGCTCCAACTAAAATAAGGCCTTATTTGTGTGTAGATGATTAAATTACCTTTATAAGGCAATAATCCGAATTTCAATTGATAGACTATGTGACTATATAGCTAAATACATGCTGGCGCCGCTCGTAATCTCAAGTTCCTATCTGTGAAAGTGCTCTTCCTCTCCTACTCTACTCACCTTCAAAGCTCTCCATCCTTCAGTAGCATCAGTGACGATCACTGGTGTAGTGCTGTACGCATACTTGTCTTCAAACTCCTCAGCCGTAATGTTCGCAAGGCGGACCACATCATCGACACCCAAGCACATGGAACAATCTTCCGGTGGACGGAACGCCGGCTTGGAGAACGAGGGTAGTTCTATTAAGCAGTTCTGGGAATAATAAACCAGGTGAATAAGTTATATTGTACTTCATCATCAACCTGATTCCGTCCACTGCTAGACATAGGCCTCCCCAATTGTACGCCATTGAGCTCGATGTTTAGTTCTTCTCATCCAACCACTGTCAGCTGCCCTGCAGATATCTTCAGTCCATCAAGCTGGAGGGCACCCACTTTAGAACACCCCTACCCCAATTGTCATCATTTCTTCGACATACTTATATTATATGAGCAGCCCACTGTCACTTCAGTTTGCTAATCTTTACAATGATTGTACTTATATAGTGCCTTTCTTAGAAAAACGGACGAAACGTTAACTTTAAAAAACCCACATATCTAATTTTGTTTCACCCGGGAATATAATCGAACTCAACGCCGCATTCGCTATTGCAACCTACGAAGCAAAAGCTACAGCGATGCTTAGATGGGCAAAAATTACATTTAAAAAACAACTTTATTATAAATACAAACGTGCCTAGGTACTTACCCTGCTTTCAAGAAATTCAGTATAGATCCATCGGGCACTCAAAAGAAACGCTGAAATTAAAACCGCAATCAAGACAACATAACTTGATGATTTCCTACCGAAGACTTTCTCTCCACTAATTTTCGGAATATCAAGCTGCGCGATATACGAATTACTTAATTTCAAACTGTCAATTTTGTTTAGAATCTTCATCACTTTCAATTCTGCAGTTTTGTACGTTTTGGCACATGTTTTAGGGCGAATAGATGGTTGTGGGAGATTCATTGTTACTTGTTGCGCGTCCCAGGGTGGAATGAAAGGGGTTTTTAGTGTCGCAATGGTTTTTATAGAGTTCGAAAATTCGATTAGAGCTGATAAAATGAAAGGATTTATAAGGCGGAGTGGATAAACGATAAACGCGATGGCATATGGCAATATGTTGTGGATATAACTCAAAATGTTGTTTGCTTTGAAAATATTATTTATTTAATTTCAAAGTTTGGTGGTCATATCATTTGAAAAGTAATACCTATCTAGTGGCGGGTACTGGCCATCTGCCTACGAATTATGTACCTACTTTGTCTAACTTAACAGTCGGGCCAAGTTGCTGAGAGTCGACAGTCGAGCCTCGGACCTCATTGTCATAAACGACCAATGGTTCGTACCAACGGCATTTAAATTAAAAAAGTAAGTACTTTTATTAAACTAGACACAAATGTTTTCGTATTAGCCACTCTATACAGTCACCGTGAAGGGATAAATACGTAATGTGTTGTGGGTGCAATGGGTATGAAATTGGAATTCATTATCTGTCGCGGAGCAGCAACTGTGTCCTTGTTACACGCTCCACGCTTGCGGTGACACGATAGCGATTTAGTGTTCTTCGTACTAAATATATTGGAGCTCTTTTTAATACAAACATATTCTTCGGTTGGTACCTAAATTATTTTATAAAATAGTTTTATTATGATGTCGTCCTAATCCGTAAATCTCCGAAACTCTAATTGGGGATTAGACAGAGGGCTCGTAACTCCTTTACCGTTGAGCGTCCATGTGGAGCGTCGATTGCTTAGGTACCACCAGGTAAACCGTCTGCTCGTTTGTCATTTCAGGATTATAGTTTAACCTTAACTGAAAAAAAAAACAATAATAACATCGATAAAACATAGGCATAAATAGAACGTTAATTAATTTTTATTTGAAAATATCAACTTTAATAAAAAATACATTTTCAAATAAATACATTTTATGTGTAGGTAAGTTGCTAAATGATCATATTTTCCGTTTCCGTGTTCTCAGCTGTTTTGATTTGTCATAGTCAAGTGTCAAGTCAGAATGACAAGCATATGTCAAAACAAACAACGCTACAGTTGAAAGTTAATAATTTTAATAAAAAAATAAATTTTAAGTAATAAGTGAGCCATGGCAGCTATACTGGGTGGTGGCTTAGGAGGCCTTTCTACTGGTTACTATTTACTTAAAAATAATATGAGTGGTAACAATAACCTAAAGTTATTTCTTTTGGAAGCGACGAACTACTGCGGCGGTTGGATTAAATCTATCCGAACTAAAGACTACGTGTTTGAACAAGGACCAAGAACTATTAGGCCTAAAGGACTACCAGGACTAAATACTTTGAATATGATGCAGGATCTTGGCCTTAGCGAACACATTGCTGCGATCAAATCGGACCACCCGGCGGCTAAGATTAGAATGATTTACGTTCGTAACAACTTACATACTCTACCTTCAAATCTAATGAGTGTCTTCCTGAAGAGCCAGCCGTTTTCCAAACCCTTAATTTATGCTCTGTTCAATGATATCAAATCACCATACAAAATATTACCAGATGATTCAATATACAATTTCGTAGAAAGACGTTTTGGTAAAGAAATCGCTGACTATGCCATATCTCCAATGATATGCGGAATTTGTGCTGGCGATGCGAAAGAAATATCTGTCAAGTTTCTGATGAAAACTTTATTTGAATATGAACAAAACCATGGTGGAGTAGTCAAAGGATTGTTCAAGTCCCTTTTTAAATCAAAATCTGATGCTGACTTTTACCTTAGTGAGCTTGCAAAAAGAGCACAAGAAGAAAAGTGGAATGTGTATACTATAAAGGGAGGCTTGGAAACATTTCCTGATAAACTACAGAATCATTTGGTTGAAAATAATGTATCTATTAGTCTTAATACAAAAGTTAATGAAATTGAATTTGTAGATTCCAGTTCTGTGATATTGAAGAAAGCAAATGGAGAAAGTTTAACAGCCAACCACATTTACTCTTCTATACCTGCTTATGCTCTTGCTAATTTAGTGGAGAAACAACATCCTAGATTGGCTAAGACTCTAAGTGACATTCCATTTGTTACAGTAGGCATAGTGAACTTATATTTTGACAAGGATGAGCCTCTAATTCAACCTGCTTTTGGATTCCTCGTACCACCGATTGAGAACTCTCCCATTCTTGGGGTAGTGTTTGATTCTTGTTGTATACCCGATCAAAGAGGAACAGTGTTAACTGTTATGCTGGGTGGTAAATGGTTCAAGGAAAAGTTTGGAGACAATGCCACTGAGAAGATGTTGTTAGAAGTAGCCTTGAAGGAAATAGTGAAGATATTGAATATAAAAATTGATCCTACTGCTTTTCATGTGAACATTCTGAAACAATGCATACCTCAGTATGTGATAGGTCACTATGAGAGAGTGGCAAAGATTCGAGAGTATATTGCCTCAAATAACTTACCAATATCCCTAGTCGGCTGTAGTTACGATGGTGTAGGTATAAATGACGTCATATATTCAGCTAAGAAACAAGTTGAGGAAAATCCATGTCTATAGTATAAGCATCTTATCAAATACTTTGGGATAGCTAAGTAAATATGTATGTGTTTGGGCAACTCTACAGTTAGCATTTATATTTGTTTTATAATAAATGTTTTTAAATGTTAATTTTTATTGATGTTTCTAGGTAATTTTATATAAAAAAAATATAGTTTCAATATTGAACTTGTTATTTCATCATTGACTTACTTCAAAAATGTCACTAAAGTAATGATGGTTAGGTATTTGATTTACATTAAAATCAAAAGAGAAGTTTACCTAAACATACAAAAGATGACAAGACAACTGCTATTGTAATAAAATATGCATAAAGACAGTTTCCAATTAATATAATATGTATATGAGGAAAAAATAATACAGTCATGTTTAAAATATTTTATTTTTCAGCAAATATGTTTAAACAAGTTATAATACTTGTAGCTGTATGTATAAAACGTGCAAACTTGAAGCTAATGGTTATAATATGCACAAATATTTATTAGTGAGAACAACTTACACTAAATTAATATCTTACCCTTTAATAAAGCTACAAAAATAAATAGTTAACTCAAGTGTACGGAATTTCATGGATAATTTCATTGAACAACCATATCTTGGGCAAAAGTAACAAGCTAAGTTTAGATTAGGCACATGTGTCTGTTTCTAGCTGCTCTATGCATGTATAATATAAAATATGCGATATTATCTTACATAATATACATTTCTTTTAATAATTGGTATGTTCATAACTTCTAGCTAGTGATGATATATATTTTTTATGTTTTAGTAATACCTTATGTACTACTAAATACTACATAACTAAACTTCAACATTCCTGGATACGTTTTCTGACACTTTTCGTAAGATAAGTGTATTACAAGTCTAAAACAATAGCACAATACATTAATAATCTCTTTCTCACGAACCTATATAACAATCAAAATATTATTTATCTGTATATTTCACAACTGAAATGACCTATTGGGGTCACATTTTTTCAATATTCGTAAAGATAAAAACAATATTTTTGTCTTTATTATCTGGTATAGATAAATTATATTTAAACTAAAATACGAAAAGTAATTCGGTTTTACAGATACATATTAAAAAAAAGAATATTCTTTACTATGCGTGACTAGAAAGTCACGAATGTTTGAATAAGCAACATCTCAGCATTTTTACATAACTTAAAATAATATTATGCTTTATTATTTTTCAAAAGATAAAATGCCTACATCAGTTCTCGATTTAGGTCTTAGATGGGCATCAAACTTGTTAATATAAATCGTGCATATTTTTAGTCTTTCTTTTTTAGTTTCTCACAGAAGCATTGTCAATCTATAATCATTGCTTCTTAGTTAATACATTTTTCTCTAATCCAATTAGAAACAAAATTATTAACTGAATTATTCTAGTCTTCCCAATACATGGAAAAGTATATCCACTTTCAAATAGTTTTGCTGGTCTTCTGTTTGAACTATTCAGAATTAAAAGGATAAAAGGTATAGTTAGCATTTGCTAGCTATTTGATATAAATAATAATTTATAAATAATGTTAATTCTGTTAGTCAATAAGAGAGCTTATAGACTGTAAAATAAAACAGCTCCCCAAGACAACTTTTAAATGATAATCGAATCAAAATGACCAGAAAAAAATTCCATTTCTCCCAAAGTGTTAGGGTTGCTGGTTTGATAGATGAGATCTGTGTACTAGTTGGAGCTGACGGTACCCAGGTCCAGTAAGACGGTGGTGTATAATGTATGGTCCCGGGGCTGCGCAGCGGCGGCGGCGGGCGGCACGGTGTTGCGGTACGAGTACTGCAGCGCCACCTTAGCCATGGCGGGCGCTCCGCCCTCTACAGCTTCGTCAGTTACTACCTCCAACCGAAGTGCTAACTTGTTCGATTTACGCCACATTATTATGCTGTAACAAAATTTTGGAGTTCAAGTATAGCAAGAGTATTAGTATGATCATCACCCTAAAGTGCAGAGGTCTTTTTGAGGGAGAAGGTTTGAGCATAAATCACCACGCTTGCACAAGACGTGTTGGCGACTTCAAACTTGTTAGAAATTAAAAAGTCATTTTAGTATCTAAATAATGTTAGAATGCACCATACTTATAACTAGGAAAATGCACAGTTATTTAAAAGCTAGGTTAAGGCAAAAGGCACCTTTAACCTTTACAGTTGAGAGGCGAGGGCTCGGCCTCTGGGCCACCATGGCATGGCACAAAAGTTTACCATGATTTGTGGCAATATAAAATATCTTAAACTTAGGTAGTATTTGAGTTGCTGCTACTGTTTATATAAAAGTAATAGTTACCGATCAGGTTTAGTAATAATGCCTTCTTGGTCATCTGTTGCCATAGTTTAATATTATTTCCTATTGAATTCTTTAATATTTTTTAGATGATGTATTTAAAATCAATACTTTATCGCATAATTAATTGAACAAGTATTTATGTATCACAGCACTCTTTTGGTAATTGTCCTTTACGTGTGTTAACTCGCCAAAAATATAGGAACGTCTGAATAGTTTTGAGTGCAGTCGAGTCTTTTATTGAAAACTTCCACACGCAACCTCATGAATACAAAACGAATTTAAAGCAAATTATTAGAAGGGGTTACTTTAATGATACATAGTTTATAGTATTTAGAGTTATTGAATATTTTGGTTGATGTTAATTTACATAAAAAATAGGGTTAGACCCTCTGATGTATCAGCCTACCTAAGTTTACTGACAAACAGACTATTATTCTATTTTCATCAGTTTCGAACGTACTGGCATATAATTTAGTTAGAAGAAATGATTTTTGTTAATGTAAGTTATGATCGAATTGAACCTTACATTAAACTTTTAAAAGATAAAAGTTATCTGTGATAAACACTTTTAAACGAGGCTCTCTTAATCTTTTTCTTAATAGTTAATATGAGACCATCCGTTGTTTGAGTTAGGGCAGTTGAATTAATTATTTTCACATTTTATTGAGTTATTATGAACTAGCTTTTGCCCGCTACTCCATTCGCGAGGAATAGTGACTTCCTGCAGATATTTGGTACAAAACTATCCTATGTCCTTTCTCGGGGTCTAAACTATGTCTGTACTTACCAAATTTCACAGAAATCGGTTCAGAGGTTTAGGCGTGAAGAAAAGACAGACAGACAGAGTTACTGTCGCATTTCTAATATTAGTTTGGAAGTTTTAATAATAGCAATGGGAGATAAGATTACGCATATACGATACGTGTAACAAATGAAATTTGGAAAAGAAAACTATTTAAGTCCACACATGCCATCAAACCATCAACCTATATTTAAGTGCCATTTGGACTCTTCTAACTTTTCTAACGTTTCATATTTACAATTTATAATTCAGTCTGCTTGCGACCTCGACTTGTGCAACCAGTTCGTAACATCAAGCCTGCCAAATTATTTTCGCGTTAATACCCGCGTAATTATGTGTTGTAAAAAGTGCTCTTTTCAAATAGAGGAGGCGTTTGCTAGACGCTAGGCTATTTATTTTTATCCTTTAGCGTATGTCAGTTGTGTCTGAATAATCTTAGGAAGTACATGTACTTACCTTGGAAAAAGTCGCATTAAGGCTACCCCCAGGTTTTAGGATATATGTGAATTGAGTGCTTTGACTTTCGAGCCACCATGTAAAAAAAAAGTCGTATCTATTGTAAAATATAATGTAAACTCACTCGTTAGTATCATGTTGAGCATCGTCGTCGTACTCGGCGGCGTCGTCTCGCTGCGCCAACGTTAGCGTGACGTCGGGCGCGGTCACGCGGCACGTCGCGGGGTTCTCCGATATCACCTCTATCGGCTTCAGAGGGATCGTGTCCTAGTAGTATATCATATCACATACTTTTTAATCTTCGTTGACATTACGTAGAGGTGGAATTGTTAATTTGATATAGAGTGTTATAAAAAGAGATTAGCATCTGGTTTCTGAAAGGTTTGTCAACGCTAAAATTAACTTATCTCCTGTTAATTTCTTGTCAAGTCATCTGATTGGTTTGGGCATCACCCCATCTCATTTCCCATGAGAGAATCAAACTGGCAACAAATAGGATAGCAACCGGTATTTCAAATGCTTACACGCAGTTTCCGCAAGGCCGATCAATGTTAAAATCAATTTAATCTCTTGTCAAGCCATCTGATTGGTTGACTGAATTATCAACAACCAATCAGATGACTTGACAAGAGATTTAAAAGGAGATGAGTTAATTTTAGCGTTAACAAGCCTTTCAGAAACCGGGTGTTAGTCTAGTAATTACTTGAAAAAACTATGCAATTACCACAGCTCACCTTTTCCAAGTTAAGTGATCGTTCGAGCGACTTCTCGATACTCTTAGGTTCCTCCTTCTCCTCGGGAGGTGGGATATCTTCAGGCTGCAGCAGTCGCAGCTGCATCTCATGTCCCGTCGGGTTGGTCAGCTTCAGAAGCAGGGCTGACTTCGCGCCTGGTTTCACGGGCTCGTGGGAAATTATCTTCACTTCTGGTACGTGATAGCTGGAAGTTTGTCATGTTCTTTAGGAGTATGTCTGTATGAGTTATAAGTAATTTTTAATACCAGTTTGCTAGTGACAAAAATTTAATAATTCTTATCAAAATCTTACTTTACATAAGTTATTGAAGCCGCATTTTGTACTTATGATATTCTTTGGGTACACTTGATATTTTTTATTTTTGGTTTTACTTGTTAAGTATTAAGTTTTGTAAATGCCAAGTTTAGTTAAGTTATAAGAAATAAGAAACAACACTAATAATAGGTGACCCCTGTAAAAGTTGTTGTATGTTGTGTATTGGTAAACAAATAAATAAAACAAGACTTTGGTCATGGACTTACTATGCTAGCAGTTCGATCTTGAACTTGATGGATCCAGGATTATACTCTGGCTTGGTGAGGTTATGGTCACAGGCCCGGCAGCGCTGACTGCGCTTGACGCTGAGCAGTTTGGCCAGCGGGTGCAGCCGGGACACGCATGTAGGCTGCCACTCCGGGGACGCTAGGCGCTGGGCCATACTCGTTACTGCCAAAAGTAACACACAGTTTATCATGTCACTTAACAGAAATAATACCTACATATTTTTACCTGTAAGAGATTGGCAGGCTTGGCTGGAGTGACAGACTCATAGAATACCAACGTAAAACGAAGCTATGTTGTTGAGCTGTGTGAATAAGGTTACCGAAGACCCAACCTTCTTCCTCACTCTCCCATCTCCAATCCCTAAATCACAAACGTGGCCGGCCAACATACTTATAACGCCTCAATGATGCAGATGGTCATGGGTGGCGCCATTAGCTTACCGTCAGGCTAAACGACAGCTAGCTTGCAGACCTACCGTATGTATACATATAAAAACCATAAATTTTGCTGTTTCATAAGTTATGGTCTACCAGGTAAAGAGGCATTCACCTAAATCAGTGTTTCCTGTTGATTGGTTTGATGTCAAGTATGGTTATAGGTAGGTCACCCTAAATTATAAAAACTTGTAATATAATACCTAATAAATAGCTCCAAAATAAATAGTTTTGCTTTTAAATTCTGACTTGCAAACTATAAGACTAACTATAAAAAGTCAACTTACAATGACACAAAATTTTAATTTCACCTATACAATCTCTAGCAAGGTCATACATACCTACATATTATTATCTTTCTACCTATCAACACAACAACAACAAAACAACTGACTAGTTGTCTCATTTTAAAGGATACAAAGTCCAACCAACAACGGAATACTAACTCTGATTCAGGTTGACCTCCTTGGTGTAAATGTCTTCAGGTAACTCTTCAACCTCTGCCTTCGCCTGACTGGGCACGAAGCTCGCGATGGCTGAAGACGAACTCTCACTAGACGGCAGGCCAGCTATGTTGCGTGCCATCGCGCCCGTTAAACCTGTCTTGTCCTATAAAGACAGTTTAATGCTATTGTTATTTCTTTAAGAGAGGGTCGTTTTAATCGGGCATTGAACATTGTTGGGTTGAACATTATAATGCACATTCACTAAAACCAAGCCAAAGATGTGTGTGTGTGTGTGATCCACAAATTCTTATTCCGAATCTGGATGTAGTCACTACACCCAGACCCGAAAAAAAAAAAACAAAAAAATATCACAAAATTGACTGAATGGTACAACTTTTACAACAACTTCATTTAGAGAGATCTATTAATCATTTAGAGAGATCTATAATAAATTAATACAGAGCTCAATTCACACATAATAAATAACTGCATTAAAAACAGTTCAATATTCAATATCAATATTTTAATTCTAAATTATACTTACAGTGAGAGTAATATATTTCCCTCGGATGTTGAACTTCTTCCTCTCTCTTTCAATCTTCTCTTGTTTCTCCTGCAGTGCAATGGCCTTATAGTACTCCAGTAGCTGGTTGACGCGCGCCGCGTGCGGGTTCGTACGCTCCGGCCAACCACCTGACGCTGCACAAAATATTCACATAATATTAAGAATTAAGTTTTCAAAGTAAAAGTCATTTATATGTACACTTAAAACAAAAAACTATCTAGAAAATTCAGTCACAAGAAAAAAATGAATAATCAGATTTTTTGAAACTAGAACTTTTTAGCTTAATCTTTAAATTACGAACTTATAGTTTATTGAAATAGTCCTCATTTAATAAAGTGTGAACAAAGATCTGAGTCTGATTCAGTTTCTTTGTGCAGATATAGATGTAAACAAGTAGCTGCTCTCACGCGCCGCTGTTCGCCTACATTTGAGTGAGATGTTTTATAGCTGCACCTAGGAAAATTGTAGCTATCTATCATTGAATGAGAATTTTCGCAAACCAATCAAAATCGACCAGCGGTTCCAAAGATTACCCCCTGCATACAAACTTAGAAATTTTACTTCTTTATAATATTACTGTAGATACAAAAAACTTACCAACAGGCTGATCTGGTATCCCAACATCCCTGGAAGTCCACCTGCAATTGAAGCATGACAAGTAGTACATCTTCTTGGGCTGTTTGCTTTCCACTTTAGTGTCTCCACCCGCTGCTGGGTCCTGCAGGACCTGCCGAGGCTGAGCCATCGTAGCTCGTGTGGATAATGTATGGAAGCAGCTGGGACAGTCAAAACAACTGCTACATCTGTTTTTCTTGAGCCGAGCCTCTGATGAAGGCATGTTCTCCAAACAGTTGGCACAGTAGTGTGAGTCCACCTGGTGAAAGAAGTCTCAATTAAATGGATTTCAGTGGTGCGAGTAGAAAATAAATAAGGTATTGCATTTATTTCAAAGAATCCTATAAAAACACCTTTTTGAAATATCATAGTTGTATTGTCACGAGCCTATTAGTGAAGCTGCTTGCTCATTTTGAAATGCATATTTAGTAAGCTGACTGTAGTTCAGTAAAGTAATGTCTTTAATGTGAAATGGAGGTACCATTTCACTACTACAGTCAGCTTACTAAATATGCATTTCAATTAGTGTACACCAGTCTTGTGCACTTTGGTGTTTTTTACATACTGGTCTATTTAGACAAACAGGTCACTGTGATTGAAATCAATAGGGAGCCTTTATTTTCTTATAACTTAAACTATATTGTATTTCCTTATAGGATTCCATTATGTTTTATCATTTGGATACTGGACAAATAAGAATAAACTATTATTCTTATTGATGAAGATTAAAGACAATATATGCAAATAAAATATATATTATATTAATAATAAGCATTAAAAATTTAAAGGGCATAATTTCTGAAGATTATAGAGCAATATGTAAAATGAGTGGGATGGTAATCAATGACAGTGAGTTTTCATGTAAAAATCACTCTCAACAAAAACATGATGCATTCCTTTTTTTCTCTTAGACACCAAACTACAACTAGAACTATCTGCTAGTGTCAAGTTATTACAAAATAATTACATATTTCTCATCTAAATGTAAAGATGGAAAGGTGTGCCTAGATTAAAAACAACACAATAAATTTAAATATTTCTATCAGTTTTATACTTATGTCACCTTTAATACTGTTAACCCAGATGTGTTAATCATAGGCCTAATGTGAATTTGCAAATTTTATAAATATTTATGCAGTAAAACATAAAAAAGTGGGTTACCTCATGACAAATGCAGAAACCGCAACGTATTTTTAAGCAATGCCGACAGAAATATAAACTAGTAATAGGTTTTAGTTGTCCGCAGGAACATATATACTTTACGTAGTCTGGCTGAGTTAAATAAGCCATTTTTTATACGTTTCTTTATTTTAGAAAACTGAAAAATCTATGCAAAATACAAGACACCAATGACATTTAGCATCTATGACACAACATCTTGACAATGACAGTTAGACAGTTGACGTCATTCTTTTTAGTTTAGAAATTATTTCACAACGGATTGGAGAATTCGATAATAATGTACAAAATTATTATCTTTTATAGTATACTTTGTTGGTTGCGGCATAATGTTACGTATTTAATGTTGAATCACATTGCCCCGTGTGAAGGACTATTTCGTTACAGTTTGTACTGTATAATGATCCTTCTATGTACCTGTATTTGTCTGAGGAGTGGTCAGAAGAATAGAGCTATAACAATAAAAGTCGGTTGATTATCTAACATAAAGAACCTTCATTCAGATTTACTACTTAATACACCTAAAAGCATTTGGGCTCGTCGCATTTTGTAATACCACATCTGCGTTGCTGTTTCAAATTATAATTTAAATCGAACCTTCAATCTCGTAAAAAAAGTACAGTAATTTTATTTCCGAACTCATCGAATTACTTCTCCCACCCAGAGTACGGCAAGAGGAAGTGTCAAACTCTTACGCACTGAAAACCCCCCGTTCCTTTTCCTGCTCCAGGCAGACCCCGCTGTAGGTACTTCATTGCGCTTGACCCGCGACCTAACTATTGGGAAAATAAATGTGATCAACAGTTCAATAATTTATGAGTTGCCTGCCTGTGTTAGCGCTAGATTCTATCTGCTATCCATCACCACGGTGGTGTTTGTTTTTATAAGAGGAAGCCCTTATTATTATCCTGCTATGAAGAAAGAAGGCCAGATTCTAAAGTTTTGTTACAAAAACCTCATGTAACCTCAATATGTCAAGTGATTTCCGAACAAAATGAATGCGTGGATTCTTCACACGCAAGGCCGTGGTGCGAATTTTAACCGACGACGAGTCAGGGACGGCTGCAGTGTCCTGCATATTCTTGAAAATTCAACAATAGACCTGGGAATTCGAACAGAGGTTTGAACCTTATTGTTTCGGAAAAAAATAAAGCAACAGGCCAGTTCGATAAAAAAATGAAACTCTTATCATAGTCATCATCATCATCAGCCGGGAGACATCCACTGATGGATATAAGTACTTTACGCCGAACGACAAGTCGCCACTCACATCCAATGGCTCCCCGCGACTCTGATTATATCTTTCAGGAGGTCTAGCTAGCAAGACGTCACAGCCAGTAGAGAAGCACTCACGACGGCGTTTTTAAGTAGGTAGTTAAGGTCCAGAATAACCTTTCTTTGTCTTCACAAAGAACGAATCCATCACCTAGAAGAGTTAATACTCATCTTCAACGTTTATTTTATTTGGTTGTGTAATTAGTGAATAAAATTTCGAAAAATATCAAATATGTACAATGTTTCATACCTATCTACAGATTATCTAGTAAATACTCAACAAAATCATACCATAGAATTGCATTTTTTAACTATCACTAAGTACTTAGAATCATAATAATGTCATTTATCATTACGCGTCTGATTTGCTAATTATGTAATTGGATGGTTGCCCTTTTGACATCAGCTTATAATTTGATAATATCAATTCATTTCACAATTAGGTACCTATTCGTATGTGATCTTTTACGATTGTACCTAACTTATGAAATCTTAAAGCTGTTATTATTCAAATAATGATTTAAATGCTCATCTTAAACGCCTTGTATTTGATTGTGTTGAGCAAGTCTTATAACTATTAACTTAATTAAATTAGGTACACATTTAATTGATTTACGCGAAATGTGAATAAATAAAAAAATGTTTTATTTCGAAAGTTTATGTACACTGACACTCTTGATATTTTTGATTTTATCTTAATTAAATTATTGTCAATGTTATCTTTTTCGATCGTCAATTTACGGTAAATTTTTTTTTTATTTTTTTCATAGAGTAGAGTGCGCCTCTGTGTTAACTCTTTAGGTCTTTTTAAGGTATGCCACTAGGAACCTTGTCCAGCGTGGCAGCTGCTTTCTAATGGCGTAATATATTGCGAAACTGATCGATGGAACACTTATGTCATGTATTAATTACTACCACGACCGTTATTTGTCATTAAATGCCCTTTTTCCCATTTGGAATCAAGTTACGGCTGCAATTGGTATTAATTCTTGGATGGCACTTTCTTCTTGTTATAATTGGTTTTATACTTCATAATATTAATCTTCATTGTACTACATAACTAAGTTTTTTTGTTTTATCTGATATTAATTTACTTTACTTAATTCTACCTCATTGTCTCAATTACAAGTGATGAATCATCAGTACCTTTTTGTAAAAAAAATTTAGGCCCCATTTTAATACCCGTGGTCCCATTTGGGCATGAAAAAGGTTTGTATGCATAAGGCCCAACATTCATAACTTTTACATTCCCTTTAAAGGATCCTTGTTATGAACGCATATATGCATTAACAGGGAAGTTATTAGGCACAACTGTTTTAAATGCATCTATTCACCGCCTACTACACATATATAGACATACAAATTAATCTTTCGGAAGCTAGGAAATGCATCGCTCCTTCTAGTCATCATCCGAAGAACTTTGACACTCGTTAAGGGTGGTTAAAACTTATTTTACGGATTTATAGAGTAGGTATTTAAAGTATTTTTAAGAGTTTCATGAAGGACGTAAATAGTAATACGGGGGTATTACGTCAGAATTGAGAATAATCAATAAACTGATATTAGATTGGGAATATAGTTACCAATATCCTAAATGTAATGTCCCTACATATGTAAATAAGTAAATATTCCTTAAACCTAGATCTAACAATCTTGATGTAAACTAGTAGTAGCATTAATTACAAACTTCAGTAGTTTATGAATGCTATGTAAACCTATTCATGTTTTTGTTTTTTAAATGGTAATAAAAATAAAAAAAAGCTTAGATTTATATGCTGCGACATATTGTTTTCAGCACAGTGTTTTCGATGAGTTCTGGCACCCAGTTTAAAATTTTACTTGTGTTTTGGATACAATGTTATTGTTGCACACCGGGTTATTACAACTGGCAACAGTACCTACTTAAAGTACATGAAGATGAATATTGATTAAAATAGTGTATCAATTTAAGAACTGCTTCACTTAAACTTTGCACTTATGGGCATTCGACTAACAAAGGTCGCATCAGTACCTACACCTATTTGATTCAGTTTTCGTATGACCGCAATTGAACTCAGTTCTTCAACAATTCAGGGAATGACCCAACAATCGCCTCAAGCGTGTCATTAAATAAAGTATGCAAACTGGTGCTTGAGTTAGTTGTAAAGGCGACCGTAAATCCGTTAAAGTGACATAATGTTTGCATAACGTACACCCATCCGCATAATGTCCTCGACATGACTTGACCGAGCACTGTTATCCTGTATGCGATACATCAACACTATACAATACGGTTGTTTCCAACTAGTCAAATTCAATACTTTTATCCAAATGTCAAAAACGATACTTTTCTATGAAAATTGTATGAAACATTGAATTATGACGTCATAGCATTTTTGCGTCAAATAGCTTACTTATTTTTAAATAATTACCTAAAAAATATCTAAAACTTAGTGAATCGATCGATCGATGAATAAAAGTATAGTTATTTTTCAATATTTTATCCTATTGAAACGTCGAATTAATTTATTTTTGACCTAGGAAACTACCCAATTTAGTTTATTCTTTTATTTATTTAAAAATCGAAGATGGTGTGACGTCAAATGTCTTGACAGATAATTGTAGCTAGGGGTGTAGCGCACGACAGCAACTGAAACAGGAATAGGAACAGGGTTGGTCTTAGTAAGAAAGACTCGTCCAATCGTTGATCCCGTTGACGTCCGCTGAGGTGTCATTTGATTATTCTCAATTCTGACGTAATACGGGGATAGTTACATCCTTCATGAAACTTAAAAATACTTTAAAATACCTACTTACAATAATAAGAAGGTACTTACTTAATAAGTCTGTTCTTTTTTAACAATCTGATAATGTTATTAGGTGGATGTCTTATTACTTGTAAATTTACAGGCTTACCTACTTAATTGCACTTAAGAATTTTCATAACGAGGAATTGGTTACATGCCCCAGTTTAGAGAAATATATTTTAGCAAGTCAATGCACGTACTGCACGTTCTGCGATCAAGACTGATATAAAGTGTGACACTCTTGTGATTCAATGTTGGTGCCTGCGGCATTTTTGTTATAGTATTTAGTGGTTTCATAAGAGGAGACGCATAAGTTCAACAGATAACTGTCACGTTGAATTTTGTCAACAACAAACAAGAGTAGGCTAACATCCTCGACCTTTTTCATTGAACTCGTAACAAACACACAACTGTTGGAAAAGAAACGTTCTTTGGACTTTTGCATCTCTAGCCTACCCTTCGAGTAATAAGAAGTGCGCTTTTTCTAAACTAGTAACAACTACTTACAACTCCAGACTCTATACTTATTAATCTTAACACTCGAATTACGACGGAGTACCTTCAGAGCCGTTATCAATGCCAGCCTACCCATTGACCGAACACGTAATACAAATTTATTGCCTGCCAGCTTAGCATTCAATTTGTTTATTGTTGAAAATTGACAGAATAAATAATGGACAGACATTTTTTTAATACGTGTTTACAAAAATCCGTGTACCTATTCAATTTGATTGGGCAACAACATTTTATCTAACGCGGCGGAAATAATTAACATTTGTCGATGTAAGTAGTAGTTGCCTGTAGTTTGCCAAAAACCTCAAAATATATGATTTCGTCACGTTGAGTCAATAGTCCTAGACGAGGCATCAGTATTAGTTGTGTAAAGAAAAGGAAGTGGTTCTAAACTTTCTAATGTTAACTTGTTTTTTGAATAACGGAAAATATATTACTTTAGATTTAGCTCTACATTTTTAATGAATGCATTCCTAATTTTATCTTTTTAAGATTAATTACATAGAAACATTAAAATTCGATTTTACCCCCGATTCAGTAATGGTGCTTAAGTAAGCTAAATAAGTCTAAATTAATCGAAGTTCGTAATCCAAATTAAATTGCTCGGAGGAATATCTGTTTGTGTAACATTTTTGACGATTGATTACCTAAATAAATCCTTGGAAAACTAGCATCATTGATTAGATTGTAGCCTGATTAGTCTGAGTCACTGGAAATGTCCAAAAGTAATTCCGGTTAATGGAGCAATCGCATACAACGATAGTGCAATGGCCAAGATTTAGAATAAAAATATCCAACTTTCATCACCTACTTAACTCATAATGAAATGCTAATTCTCTTGATGCAAGTAATTAATTAATTTATCTACAGTTTGATTAGGTTACGAGCACATAAGTGCTTGTCTGTGTAATCTGTGATATGTCCCACATGATTTAATTCAAGTCTTAGTTACTTAGGCACCTATTATATTATTTCTTTAAAACTTGCAATAGTTTCTGTAAATGTTAGTATGGTATTGTTTTTTTTTATTATCATTTTCGTGAGCTTTAAACTAGGCGAGTATCTCGTCAAATTATTACTTGAATAAGCTGAAAACATAATAATTGTTTTTTTTTCTTTTCATGTTTTAATTTCATGCTTCTTTTGTTTTACTCCATTCCGTTAGACTGCAACCATTTCTGGGATGGCATTTGTGTGTGTATTGTTTTTTCTTTCTTATTTACATTTAACTTGTGCTTATTCAGAATCTGCATGCTTAAGTTAAGCCAGAGTGTCGCTATAAGCGAAGACTTGTTGTTGGCTTTCTGGTGTTTAATAAGATTGTGCTACTATTTATTGTTATAGGTGTAGGTAAGTCTCCCATTTACTTAAATAAATAATGTACAAATAAACATCCCAGATCGCCTTCTGTAAACACGGAAGGCCATCCTTTTCCGGGGGACCTATTTATGCACGGAAACCATAGACATGAGTAGACTTAGTGTAGAATTACAGACTGGCTGGTTAGCTCAGGGCTGGAGTAATCCATGATTATATTTGAATTTCAAGCTGGTTTCGCGCTCACTGTTAACTTACTATTTTACACCTAATCATACGAAGTTGTTAGTGGCTAATACTAGAGCTCGTATAATGGGTAATTGTGTGCTTCCATAATTTGTGAACTAAGTTAGTTATAATAGTTAAAACATTGGGAACATGGACCTATTAGGAAAAAAGAGTGGCACGTGCTCAAAAACAATTTATGAACGAGTAGAAACAAGAAAAAGAGAAATTAATGAAACAATATTTTCATATAATTTTTGTATTGGCTGCGTAATGTCGCCGTAACGCGCACGCTACTCGTGAATAAGAGTCCCGTTGTGACTTGAAACTAGTAGAGCTTTTCTCGGTTCATTCACTTGAGTCGTAATTTTCAATAGATTTATTGTCTCACGATCGTCTTACTATTCAAAATTATTTTCACTTTTTTTTTTTTTTTATGTAATAGGTCGGCAAACGAGCAGACGGATTACCTGATGGTAAGCAATCAGCGCCGCCCATGGACACTCGCAACGGTGGAGTTACGAGTGCGTTGCCGACCTTTCAGGGATTAGGGCTTTGGAGATATAGGGATTGAGGAGGGATTGGGGAAGGGGAAGGATTGGGCCTCCGGTAACCTCACTCACACGGCGAAACACAACGCAGTGGTTATTTCACGCCGGTTTTCTGTGAGGCCGTGGTATCTCTCCGGTCGAGCCGACCCATTCGTGCCGAAGCATGGCTCTCCCACACTTTTATGTAAATTAGGTACATGGCCTATAATAATAATAATATAATTGCCAAAACTAAGTAATTAGGGATGTTATTCACATCGTTTTAGTTACATTTTTAATTTCCGCTTTCTCTTGTCATTGGTAGTTGCGAATTTCATTGGCAGTACTTACTTACTTAATTTTTTTAAAGCCGTGTGACCGGAAAGCCTATCCGTTGTTGTATAATTATAAAACATTTTTATTGCTCTGTAAGTATGTTTACTTTGTCTAATTACATTCTGTAGGTACTTGAGTACTTAGTAGGTAGTTAGATCGCGCACTTTGGCATACCTAGAATTTGCACTACATTCTTGTCTAAAAATGTCCTACAAAAAGCAGGAGACCTTGCAGTGCTCAAGCACACCAAGCCTTTGGTTAAGCTGGCCTAAATATTAGTATGTAGGACTTGCATATTCGTCCTTTCACTATGTAGTCTAATTACCTAATTATGTTTGTGTGTGATTAAACCTTACATTAAAATGTTGATATCCTTCACCAGACATCAAACAAAATATCAAGCTGTCTTTTTAGCTAAATAGTTAAGCAATACGAATATTCATAATTTACTTAAGCAGGTAGATACCTACCGTAATTATGAAACCGGATCACAATTTAAGTATTAAAGTACCTAGTTAGATTCGTAAGACAAAATACTACCTACCTACTTCTCTTTAAACGGAGTCCATTTTATTTCTCACCGTGAATGTTAAACACTAAAACACATTGGTGTCTATAATAGAGGTCATAACCTAAATCTTATAAATTTCTATATTTAAATATAAGCGAAAGAGCAACAGATTATCCCTCCCTACCACTAATGCTTCACAACCACCCTTGCGATATCCTCGGCGAACTTCTGCCTTCTACTAGGGGACAAGTTCTAAGGTCGGCCTCACGTTTATCTATTGTGCAATATGAGGCGCGCGGTGCGCCGCCGCGCATGCGCCCACATTTTCCCGCCAAACTCCGCACGCGTCCAGACGCGTAGTAAAAACAAAATAAAAAAAATAAAACTAACGTTTATAATTTTATTTATGGTCTAATAAATTTTAAAAATGGAATTTTGTTAGTTTAATTATATTTCCATAATAAAAATATGGAAGTTTGAATGTTTGATTAGATTGTAATAAAATCGGGTGTAGTGAGTGTTGTGTGGTGGTTAGTGGTACGTGATGTTACCACGATGTGGTTGGCTGTGGTCCATCTGCTGCTGGTGACCGAAGCCCTAGCGTTTAACATCAGCAACCTGATTTCACCGTTCAGCGATGTGGTAAGTTTGAATTCACTTTTATATATTTTACGACAGAATTTGAATATCTATGTGCTATTTTAAGGCTGTTTAGAAATAAATGAGTAATATTTATGGGCCATAATATACGTTCATTATGAATAACAGCAACATTATGAAATTAAACATCTTTACGCATGACTAATATCTGACATAATTTTATTTGAATTTTCATTGAATTAAGTATTAAGCGTTAGGTTATTTTTTTTCTATTAGCTTAAAAGACTTGTATTACTTAAAATGTAACAAATACCTAAATATTTAGTGACGTTACTTACCATAAAAATAGTAGTCTTCGTCTTGCTCTAGACATAAAAATTATTAAAATTTTAAAACCCAATATAATTCAATTAACACATAAGAGCTTTTAAATTGTAACAAGATCGCTCTGCAAACCGAATGAACTCTGAATATCGAACTTTACGTCTACAAGTTAAAGCCTTTTAAATGCTTGACAGCATAATTTTATTCAAGGAGTGTATTAAAAAAACCGTTGCTAAGGTTTTATATAAAAGAACATATTATTATGTCACCTACCTACTTATGTCATGCTTTTTATGGCGATGTGAATAAACTAAAGCCAATTAGATGCTATAGGGTTTACTAAGTATACTACCTAGGTACTATAGATTTCCTTCTAGCCTTTTCCACTATCCTACCCCCATACAATTGACAAAACTTCTTTGCTTCATTGTGGATATCCATCATCGGATCATTGCTTACCGCCAGAAGAGGTAGTAGCCAAACGCCAGCCGATTATACATACAAACAGAATCATCATTAACTTTAGCCTATAAGTCTCCACCGCTGAAATAAACCAAGATTCCTTTAAACATGTTCTTCTTACCACTTAAAAGATAACAAATTATTAGGACGTTAACTAAAGTTTATAATTTCCGTTTTCACCCGTTATAACTTCGTTTGTGAAACGTTGATTTACGACACTATTGTAAAATTAATTGGTTGTTAGTTTAAAGGTCTTTTGTTTATTAACACAAATAGGTAAGTCGTTGGCTATGGTAACTGATGGCTCTTCATCTTCACACAATTTAATTGCTACATGTGTGAACGTTAGTACAACCAACTTGACAAACAAATTGTTACCTGACGTAATTATCACCTTTTGGCGAACATTCACTATTTTATTTACTTAGATGTCTTTCGTTACCTACTAATCTCAATGTCAGAAATCTTACTGATATTATAAATCCGAAAGTTACGATCTTTGGATGTTTGTTACTCAATCACGTCACGGACGGATCTGGATGAAATTCGGTACAGGCATAGAATAAACTCCGGAATAGGACATAGGCTACGTTTTATCAACATACCACGAAGCCGCAGGCGGAAGATAGTATATGTATATATTATGTTCTTTTTAATTCGTATTCAGACGTCAAAATTAGGCAATTTGCACAAACGTTTAATTTCAATCATGTAAGTAAGTACCTATAAGTGAAAACCGGTTTTCGAAAATAGAAAAAAGACGTAATTTCGCAACGAATGTTTAAACACACGTACATGCGTATTAAATTATGTATATTGATCGTTGACTAGGTACCTATGTGGTAACTTGGCAAAAGCGTAGTTTAGCAAATAATTATACGGGTGGAGATAATAAATATGAATTTTATGGTCACGCCGACAATAGGCGACGTAACTTTTACTATCCATGTACCTAAAGTAATTGGTGATGGAGGTACCTGTATCTATTTAAGGGTTGTTTAAGAACTAACTAATTCTATTATCTTGCGTATTGTGTGTTAGAAGAATGATGAACGCAAAGTACCTACCAAACGTCAGGGTCGAATTAACCAATACGGCAATGGATCGTTGCTAGGCAAAACAATAGTACATTATGGTACAAGAAGTGTGTAATGATGGTGAATACCGCTGAGGCGCATTCAGGCCCAAGCCATAAAGGTCTTAAGAAGCCGAGAACGGTAATCATCAATACACACATACGTTTATCATACGACGTTTTTCAACACACTTTTGAATAAAATAACACTTATACATAGTATATAAAACCAAAATGATTTCAAAAGAAAATAAGACAAATTGTAAAAAATATTTTAATGACGGGAAAAATTAATTAAATAAGCGATATTCCTATGTGCGCGCATCAGCCACGGATAGCATTTTAGTGCTGTGCAATACGGTAGTTTCTAGCTAGTCAAATTCAATACTTTTATCCAAATGACAAAAACGACACTTATCTATGAAAAACTGAGTAATGGCGTCATAACATTTTTGCGGCAAATAACTTACTTATTTCTTAATAATTAGCTAAACAAATGTAAAACTTAGTGTATCGATCAATTGATGAATAAAAGTATAGTAATTTTTCAATATTTTATTGTATTGAAACGTCGAATTAATATATTTTTCATCTAAGGACACTACCCAATTGTACCTAAGCGTAACTCAACCAATAAATATAAAAAATACTCAATTAGTCACTCGCGACTAATAGTAATGAAAAAGTTACAGTTTGATTAAAGGTGTCATTATGTGCCTAATTGTCATGGTATTCGAGCTACTTTATGACCAAAGTGTGTTTAAAAATACCTTTATATAAAGACCACGCTAAAAATTAACAATGCCTTCAACTGGATAAAAGCATTGCGTCTAGAAACAACCTAGGTCTTTCATCAACAAAATCTCAGAAACATCATTTCACAAAGAAAATGAGCCTGACAGGATTAATCCGGCCGTGGCAACCATCTATGATTAAATTCATTTATTTTTTGGATTTGACAACCTCGGTGACGTTCACCATTGCTCTTCGGTTAAAACTTACGAACCTAGTGGCCCATGTAGTACATTATGTACATCAGTATCAACATCAGTACATAGTATAAAAAGTCACTTTAGATATTTGCCCCTATGCCCCTATGAATGCTTAAATCTGTAAAACTACGCAACGGATTTTGATGGGGCATTTTTAACAGATACAGTGTATAAAGAGGAAGGTTAATATAAAAACTAACATCCATTTATTAACAGTGAAAAACTTTAGTACTTAATTCGCAATGCACCCGTGCGAGGCCTCAGGCCTAGTAGTAGAGAACAATTACAGGAAACCCGGAACATGCCTGGGGTTAATGACACTATTGCTGTAGATATGTATGTACAAGGCAAAGATACAGTGTGGTAACATTACCAGCATGAATAGCGAAAAACCCAGCCAACCTATGAGTAGACCAGTGAGTCAGACACATCCATAAAACTAAACGATTAAATATTTCTCTTAAATTATAAGATTTTGCAATGTTTTACAAACATATGAACATATTGGCTAAGGTTAATGTTTCATTCATGGTCATTGCAATGTAGGATCCGAAGGTTATCAAATATTACTCTCACTTTTATTCTTGGATACCCCAATCACCCTTTCACCCGACAGAAATCGGTCAGTTGCATTTAATACTTCTATTGTATTTAGAATAAAATATCAACATCCTGGCCAGGTCAATCACAATTCAGATCAGGTTTGTGACCTAAACATAACAGAATTAAATCTTCTTGATAGACAATTAAATTCTTGAATGTGTAAGCGAAATAGCCCTTAGAAATTAGTAACGCAACATAGTAGTAGTAGTAGACTGCAGGTCCAACCGTTACCAGGCTTATTCGAGTTAGGCCGGCCGGTCGACCTACATTCTGGCGTCCGTATTGGATGCTTTATCTAACACAAACTGGTCGAGTGGTCCCACGTTACGTTATTGAGAGCGATTAAACGCTTATTAGGTTCTATAGAATCTCTTCACTATCTACCATACGTCAAATGCAGTCAGTAACACCAACAAGTACAGCGGTTTCAAAACTAGAGCCTTATTTATTCAATCGTCTCATTTATTCTCATCCGTTATGGCAATTTTCATAATCTGCTATTAGTTTAATTTTTCAGAAAAAGAGTTACTTACTAAGTTTTACATTAATATAAAATAACTAGCGGCCCGCCCCCGCTTCGCACGGGTCCAACTATCTCGCTATCAAAGGGTCACCTTTTCCTAATCTTTCCCTCTACTTTTCTAATATTTTCTTCGATAAGAACCTTCACCTGACAATATAAACACAACAAAAAAAGAATTGGCGTTATTGAGTTATGCGCTTACAACACATTTTGCGATCCATTTTTATATATAAGAAGATAAATATGTATAGTACCTACAACATAGTAGCACTTACAATATTTACTCTTCGGTAAATCGTGAAGTTCATAACTGAAAGAAGTTCGTCTTCAATATTTCCAAACAGCCAAAGACCGGTAAAACAGGAAGTATCAAAATAGATTGATACCTATAATAGATCAACATTAATAAGACCAACGAATGAACATTTTCGTAATTTTAAGCGCGTATCAATAAAAATACCGATTGCTTGCGTAAGTACCGTGTAAAAGTTACCGAGAAAGAATATAGTAAACACGTGCGTCTGTCTCGAAGTTTGTATTTCAATCTAATAGTTGATAAAATACCTAATGTAATTTTAGACCTTGGCGTGCTCATGCTAATGTTTGAAGAAGTAAAAAAATATTTTTACAGTCATTCATCACAAATTATACTTACCTTTATAATTTTGATTTTACTTTCAGACTGTATGTATGTAATAGGTAATCTTCATAATACTTGTGCGTTTCTCGAAAACTTTCTTCGGTTAAATGTCGAGAATGTATTAGTTTTCCTGTTGACACAGAATGTCGATACATAGTCAACAAAAGCTTCACTACAAAGCTTGAGTTGACAACCACATGATGATTTCAAGTGACAAGTTATGTAAACGGTGTCATATACACCCATAGGTACCTATATTTATATTGTAGGTAGACCCTTCCTAAAACTTTATACTTGTGATCTTTAAGTCATTTGAGTTTTTGAATAAAATGATTGATGGTGTTATTCAACGGAGCTTAACGTGCGAAAAATGAGATATAATCGCATTGTAACTATTAAATTATCCAAATACAAAGTAAGATA